TTGATCTGATCCCTGTGAACAGTTTCCAGGCCAGTGCCAGAATGGATTCTGGGACAAGTGCCAAGCACTCAGTCAGGGACACATTGTCCCCTTGCCCATCGCATCTGAAGTTGGAGAGCTGGTGTTCCAGGCCATCTTCTCCATCCCCAGCTGCAAGGCTTTCAGGGTCAGCCACATGGCAATCACGGTGAGGGGATGTGCTGCAGGGGAGCAGTCTGACCAGACTCCTATGAGTTTTTCAATTTGTCTGCGGTCCTTCAAAGTGGACTTGGGACAGCTGATAACCTACAGCAGCTGTTTGCACGGTTTGGTCTGTTTGTACTGAGGTGATCTGGTTGCTTCAGGTGTTACCTGTTTCTGCCCTCCTTCTTATTCCTGGAAGAGTGATAGAACCACCCCTGCCGTTCCCCTCTGACAATGCACCTCAGCTTCTCAAATGGGTGGCAGGTTTCCTGTCTTCACCTTTCTGATCTATTGTCCTGCTGGCTCACTGCATGGCAAGCCCCTGACTCCCTGAGTGTGGATCTCTGGATACCGGGCCACAAGCACACGACCAGCAAAAGTTATAAATTTCAGTGCAGGTTTTTCATGGACTTTAGGGTAATTGCATGGAGAGGAAACCAGGGGCATGAGCTAGGCCTGGCTCATGCCCTTCAAACAAAATGAGTTGACTCTGTGGTGGCCATCCAGATTTTCACTATCATCTACCTGAGGGGCAATGATCTGCTCACTCTAACCAGAACGGGCCTATTTAAGCCTCTGAAACAGAACTTGAGCAGGGTCAACTAGGTTGTAGCCAGTTGCTTTTCTAGCTTGGTTGGTGCTGTTTCTGTGGTATGTTAGATGAGGCCTGTGGTGGACCAGGACAAGATGATGGACAATCAAGCCACCAAGTAGTTTCCACAGATGGCTGTAACGGAGTCTGGTGAGATCTCCCAGCAACTCTGTGACAGTCAGGAGGTGAGGAACATATTTCTGATGGAACAGGCATCAATCAATCCATCACCTGGAATGGATGGGAGTTATTCCATGTGGAGAGACTGTCCCATGATGCTGGTGGCTAGCCCTGGTATATGAGGCCTTCTTTTGGGGCCTGGTTGACACAGCCTATAGACTGAAAGATGAAAGCGAGTGGATTTTTCTTTCCTGATGGATGTATCCGTTCAGAATAAGAGAAATGACGGATTGATAAAGGCAAGTCAAGCTCCTCCTCCTTATATTGCTTCCAGGACTTCCTGACCTAGGGCTTGGAATTCCTATGCATTATTCAGATAAACTCGCCGCCTCGTCAGTCATTCAGACCAACAAGGAGTCAGTGTGGCCAGTAGACTTTGCCCTCTTTAGATCCTCTCCTCACCCTCATTACATTGTTACAGTATGTCAGTCGTGCTACACCAAAGAGCCTGGGAAGCTTCAGGGCATCTGTTTTAAGGGGCTTTTACAAAAAACAAGTAGTTTCAGGTTTCACTTGGCATAAGATTTTGGCTAAAGAGGGAACCTGATGGGGGGAGGAGGTCTTTGAATAATGAAAACGTAGAATGGGGTGTTCTGCACCGAGGACCCTACGATGCCTGTATAGTTGAACGGTGTTTTGCTAGGTATGATAGATAATAAAACCAACTGCATGAGTACTAATCACATACTCCTGTGCCCCCTGATTCTACAACCAGACTCACATGGGTGGAAGCTCCTGATCGGATGGATCTAAATGCAGGATGAGGGCCATGGCTCCTACAGATCACGTGTGAAACAAACCCCAAATGGAACACTGATTGCAGGGTATGATGGTTGTAAAGGAGTGGGTGGAATTTTTCCGTGGGGTGGGGTGGGGTGGGGGTGGGAGGAAGATGAATCTTCCATGTCTTTGTCAGAGCCAGACGAATTTCAGCTACCTGGACAAGGCCTCCAGAGGATCTGACCACTTCACAATCATTAAATGTATATATACACTCAGAAATTCACTGGGAGGCAGGGAAGTGCTATTAGGCCCATTTTACATGTAGGGGAGATTAAATGGTTTGCCTGCCCAAAGTCATACAGAAAACAGCTGTGACAGAACAGGGAATGGAATCCAGGCCTCCCACGTCCTGGTCTGGTCCCCTAGCCACCAGACCATCCTTCCTCTCCTTCCTATTATTCAGAACTTTCCTCCTATTGCACTTTCAACGGCCAAGAGCTACGGAAACATTTTAAGAAGTCACACATGACTCAGGTCCTACCCATGCATTTCAAAACTGATTTATGGGGCTAACATTTTAAAAGGGGCTTCCCATGTTATGTCCACTAGGGCAGGGAGCAGGGCAGTTGCCGTGGGCACCAGCTTTCAAGGGGCACCACCCCATTGTGCCACTCGGCCATTTTGTTTTTCTCTCTGCTGACTGGCTGGCTTTTTTTCCTGGTCCACCCTACGGCAGGGAGGTGCTCCCAAAAATGTTTTCCACCCCGGTCAGCAAAAGGCATTGGGTCATTCCTGCTTACACAGCCTCTTTCTGTCCCTGTTCTCTTAACATTTAAAACACCACCCCCATAGATCAGCTCAAACAGCTCCTCCTGATATCCATGGCATGTTACCGAGGACAGAGGGCAGCATTATGGCTCTAAATATAAAGAAGGAGTCTGACAATGAGGAGGAGAGCTATGCAAGACAGCGTTTATCACACTTGACTCAAAAGAGCGTTTAGAGCGTGACAAAAGGTGATGTTGTCAATGCCAAGTATTACTGCTGTGACAAAAGACAAATAGGAGACTCTATGGAAAAACTGGTTTCAGAGTGAGCAGCCATGTTAGTCTGTATCTGCAAAAAGAACAGGAGGACTTGTGGCACCTTAGAGACTAACCAATTTATTTGAGCATAAGCTTTCGTGGGCTACAGCTCACTTCATTGGAAGCATAGAATGGAACATATAGTAAGAAGATACATATATACATACAGAGAATATGAAAAGGTGGAAGTAGCCATCCCAAATGTAAGAGGCTAATTAATTAAGATGAGCTATTATCATCTCATAGCTATAGCTCATCTTAATTAATTAGTCTCTTTCAGTTGGGATGGCTACTTCCACCTTTTCATGTTCTCTGTATGTATATATGTATCTTCTTACTATATGTTCCATTCTAGGCATCCGATGAAGTGAGCTGTAGCCCACGAAAGCTTATGCTCAAATAAATTTGTTAGTCTCTAAGGTGCCACAAGTCCTCCTTTTCTTTTTTATGGAAAAAACTAACCTTCTACTTTAGTGAAATTTAATAAGCCTTTTAGAAACTGGGCAGCATGTTTCTGTGCGCGTGGCAGGGTCAGAATGAGGCTGTTCCATAATATCGCCTTACTCTGCTGCAAAATGTGATGTGGTATGTGTGTTCTTTGCTGGCTTACTCCAATGGCCTGTGTGACATTCATGACATACCTCAGATCAGCGTATAGGGGAACAGTGGGGGCCAAATACCTAACTTGTTTCAAGACCGAGCTCCCTAAGTTTAGGGAGGGGATGATCTGATGAGCCTGCCTACAATGGCATGTGGCCCATCAACGACAGCTATTACAAATATCTCCAATGGCTGGAGATGGGATGCCAGATGGGGAGGGCTTTGAGTTACTATAGAGAATTCTTTCCCAGATGTCTGGCTGGTGGATCTCACCCATATGCTCAGGGTCTAACTGATCACCATATTTAGGGTTGGGAAGGAATTCTCCCCCATGTCAGATTGACAAAGACAAAGGCAGGGAGTATTCGCCTTCCTCTGCAGTGTGGGGCAGGGTCATTTGCTGATTTGAACTAGAGTAAATGGTGGATTCTCTGCAATTTGAAGTCATTCAACCAAGACTTGAGGATTTCGGTAATTTAGCCAGAGGTTATGGGCCTAACACTGGAGTGGGTGTGCAAGGTTTTGTGGCTAGCAATGTGCAGGAGGTCAGACTGGATGATCACAACAGTCCCTTCTGGCCTTTAAGTCTATGGGTCTACGACAGTTAGCATAACCTGATGAAAGCTGTAGCCATGTATCATATCAAAGACAGGAGCTATAAGGCACAAAACACTGACATGCTTTCCCTGTGTACTTTAACACAAATTTGCGATTTTAACTTATCTGGAAACATACATTCATTTGTACTGGAAAAACTGAATAGCAATCCTTTTTTTTTCTAGTGATGGCAGAAAGAATATTTTCTATTACAAAATATATTTTCTAGATTATAAAAAAGTATAAAGCAGCTTTCATTTGGACCTGGTTGAAGGGCCTTTGCTGTTTTTTTTTCAAACTCACGAGAGAAAGGAGACAGTCAGTTTTGCTCTATTCATATTTGATTTGACATACCGGGGGGAGAAAACCTTTTTAATTTATAAAAACCCAATCATGGGTAACAAATGCAGAAAGTAACTGACTCTACCAGAAAGCATTCCATACTAATCTAAGGATTTTTGTTGTTCTGTGGCTGCAGTAACAAGGGGGGCTGCGTCAGTCACTAAAATCAGCCACTGGTAAAAAAATGCAAGAAACTGCAATATTCATGAATATGTGTTCACATGAGTTACAAGCCATCCATCTGTTCAGAGAGAAATACACGCACTCCATACGCATTGGAAGATACTCTTAGCTGAGACAATTGCCAGCAGAGAGAGAGACTTTTTAGTAAGACACAGAAATGAGCATGCATTGAGTACCTAAACCACAATGGATGCCTATGGGATTCTGCCAACTGGGAGCAGCATGAGCCCCAGTATTCCCTTACATACTCATTAAAACACAGCTGCCTGCCCCACACCCAATGTCTACTACTAGATGCAAGCAGCTGCACGACCTTCCTTTGGGGAACAGAGCATCATCTGCCACCCAGCCAACCTTCTGCCTTCTGTTCATAGGAGCACCACACTCTGGAAACCATGAGTCCAAGTGATGGGGAAGCTTGCTAGGTTTGCTCCTCTTCTCTTGCACGCGCACTGAGGAAGAGCCAATATTGGACCTTTAACTTGTAAAGCCAAAGTCGAAGGGAGCAGCCTTACCTGTACTGCTGGATATGTTGACATCAATGCTGATATCGGATATACCACCGCCTTTCAGGGATGCCACGCAGGTGTACGTTCCAAAGTCAGTGAATTTCAAGTCGATGATGTCCAGGTTGGTGGTGCCAGGGGAAACATCAGGGTCAGTCTGGGTGATGACCATCCTTTCTGAGCTACGCAATGGGCGTCCGTTTTTAAACCAACTGAATGTGAGCTCCTCAGAAGGAACAGCTTCCACCTGGCAGGAGATTTTCACCTCACGCCCAATCTGGATGTTGTCGTCTTTGTGATAGGGGTCAGGCGTGATCCAAAACCGGCCTTTTTTTAAGGCTAAAATATAAAAATATGCCCACAGTTAGTCTAATATGATACAGCTCTTGCCACCCGAGACCCACAATTCTGCAAACCCTTACGCCCGTGCACATCAATGGTCCCACTGAAGTCACAGTAACCTACTCACGTGCGTAAAGTCAAACACATGGCTTAAACGTTAGCTGGATCGGGTCCTTAATTAGCGTCATAGCCACGGCATACATATGCATTGCTAAAGCTCTCACCGCTATTGTCATGCAAACAAGGAATAGACACAGTAAATAAACCTGGCTGAGCTGCTGGCAATTGAAGGGTAATAAAAATAGTTCAAGATTCCGCAGTGTTGACTGTGTGTTGTTTTAGGTAGATCCCCCCCCCACTGTCCTATCAGAGTGCCTGAAGATAACAAAACACAGAGATCAATCTAATATCACTGGAATGATTAGCAGTGTCATCTCAAATCTGTCTGCGGTCAGGGACAGCTCTGTGGAACAGCCCATGGGAAAAAGCAAACAAACTCCTAGGCTAAAATCCTTCCTGAGGTTCGCACATGCGGCTCTTCCCCCCATTAGTGGGCTGGATTCACCCCTCCTCCTACCAGTGCTCACAGGCTGCAGCCTCCAAAGGCTTGTCTCAGTGGGGATCCCACTGCCAGCAACTGCAGTCCCGGAAGTGGCCAGGTAAGGAGCACACCTGGAGCATGGATGCATCGTCTGAGCAGCCTCCCTTAGTCGGTCTGTTCTGAAGTTGCAATTTAAAGCAATTTAAATTTAAAGCTACCCTTCCCCAGTGTATTCCCCAAGAGAGGCTGTGCAAATGTAACCCACACACCTTCTGGGTGCGGTGGTCTGTCTCATCTAGCGGCACAGAGACCACTTAGAGAGAATTAATGAGTCTGCTCTACAGCCTTGGCTAACAGCCAGCGGGCTTTTAGCTCATGTGGTAGAGGCTCATGCCCTCAGCTCCAGAGGTCCCAGGTTCGATCCCACCCACCAGCGCCCGGGGTCTGTCAGTGTTATACAAACACAGCATGCCCTTCCTAGGGATGAAGCGAGGCTGCCTATCCCCGGTGGGGCAGCGCCTGTCGAAGTGAAGTGAGGCCAACATGCGCGCACACAGCTGGGGACAGAATGTTAACCAGAAATTGCAGTGACAGAGCTTGCCACAAGCATCAACAGGTTTTTGAGGTTTTTAAATTAATAATAAAGTTATTTTCTTCAGTTCACTAGGACAAGAATTAATTAATATTAATCCTCAACCCTCCAGCCAACTAGGGGAAGTACGGTCCCAGTTTTACAGAGGAAGAACCTGAGGTAAAGAAATTAAGTGAGGGCTTAAGGAGACAGTATCAGAACCAGTATCAGAACTCAGGTGATCGAGGTCCCAGCCAAGAATGCTAACTGCTACCCCATGACACTCTCTTGAGCTAGGACAATCTTCAACCGATGAGAGTCACTAACACAAATTCAGCAATTTGCCATAAAAAGCAACTTGATGGCATACTTCAGACATTTGTTTTCAATATTTTTGTTTAAAACTAACCTAAAACTATCCTGAAACTATGGCAATTTGAATTAGCAAAGCAGCTGGTATGATGCTAATTTTTGGAAGCTGTCCCACAGTCAACCATTAAGCTCTTTAAATATGTATAACTTCTGATATACTGCATGTAAATGCTACTTGTATAATCTCTCTCTCTCAGAATATATTTCTCTATATATTCTGTGTCAAACTGAAAAGCCCCACAAGGAAAACACCAGTTGGAAATTTTATAAACAAATATTCAGGCTAAACACAAAAACTGGAAGACAATTTAAATCTGACATTTCTGCTGCATTATGTGACTTTTTAGCGTAGTGGAAAGTTCCTTTGTCTGTCCCGTCCCCTTATTCCTGCAACTGCTCATACAGTGATTCATGCATGGAGCATTCTGGGGTGAAATTAGGACACACAGCAGCATTCCCCTGTCTGGCCTCATGTATTTAGATGCTTACAGCAAATGAAGTGTGACATTGTTACAAATGGTAAAGGCTGTGTACTGAAAATTTTCTTGTCAGGATACTCATACTTTGGGTAATAAACAGTTTGCTCATATACAGAAAGTGTAACAAGATGAAATTGAAATGAACTTATGAGGTACAAAGCAAGCTAGGAGAGCATCCATCGTCAGCTGTTTATGAAGTGTTGAAAATGCTAATTCAGACTCACTGTTAGCTCAGTAACTCTTGGAATAAAACTGCTTGACACTTCATTGATAATATTTTAATTGTATTTTTTATCTGTTTTTTTCTCTTTTCATCCTCTACCCACAAATCTAAAAATCTTTCAAAATCTGGATAGCAGCCCACAAACAGAGAGAGATGGACAAACACACAGACAATAGACACACAGAGACACAGTAACAAACTTGGGCTGGTGAAATAGCATAACCATCTTAATTAGAGAATGAAAGAATTGATTTGCTTGTAGCACAGGTTGGAGAACACAAAAGGTTATTGGAAACTCGGGTACTTCATTGTTGAGGTATATGGATGGCTGCTAGGTTTCTAATAAAGTATTTCTGAATCTTGAAAGTTTCATGAATTTTAGTATAAAAAAATTCATGTCACAATATGCTAGTCGTTATTCATCATTTGCTACACTGTTTAAAAGTTGCAATCAACCGCATAGGAAGCAGAAACCGGCCCATGTGACTTAGCTGTCCAACCCAACCCAACAAATAAAGAAATGGAAAATTCTCAAAGTGAACATTTGTAGTCAGCAGCTGCAATTTGTTCAAATACATTTCCCACAAATACATGGATGTAACAAATACACTCACACTTTGCAAACAGAGGAGGGAAAAGTTAAATAAATGATGTAAGGAATAATTCAGTCAGCTCTGTTTAGTAGTAAAATCACCAAGCTGGTTTCAATTCTGAATCATTTTTCCCCTTGCCTGCACACAGTGAGTTTTAGCCATTTCCCTTTCCCAGCAAGTGGATAGCAAAGTTGAAACGAAAGCTTTAAATCTCATCCATTCCTCATTTTGGCTAAAACCATAAGAGCAACTGTAAGCTAAGGAGAAAGGGAGTCTCAGGCTTCAGGCCATAAGCCTCATGGGTCAGGAACACTCCTTTCATTGCCCATGAACTACATTGCACAGTTGGCTCCCAGCAAGTGAGGTACGGTTTTGTTTGCTGTCTTATTTTTACTTCTGAGGAAGCATCAGGTATTAGCAACAACCAGCGACAGGGTATTGGACGTGACCAGACAATGTTCTGACCGGCTACGGCAAACCCTGTATTTCTAAAACCACTGTAATGACAGAAGTAGTTTTCTGTCAGGTAGGCCCAGGGGTTCCTGTACAACACCCACCTTAGCCAAATCATTTTCCCAAAGGAGATTCACAGGCACAGAAACAGGGTGCTGAAACACTGTATTTCTTGTTAGGAAGTACAGGAGCCTATAGATCCCATAAAATTGGACCTAGTGAAAGCTTCTGTGCCATTCCCCTCCTCCTCTCCCTTCTGCTCTCCACACACGAGGCTCTCCCTTCACACACCATCCCACTTTCCTAGCCTCTCAGCAAGCAACACAGCCATGGCTCACAGCACCAAGGACTCCCCATTTTACACCTGGTTAACAAGAATGCCTCTCTCTCTCTCTGGTCGTATTCTCCAGGAGCCTCACAAAACCTGCATTGCCACTGCCAACACGAGAGGAACAATTTTGGTTTTATAATCATAGCCCTAAAGCATTACGTACCATTGTTAGCCAATCAACATCCATGGCTCCCTAACCTCACTCAGTTGCAGGGGGACACAGTTCAGTTCCACGATTAGCAGCTGGAAATCAATTATTTACCTCAGAGCTCATTCCTTTCCTATTACATTTGCTGGTTACATAGGGCCGTTCTAGTCACACATTCAGGTTGTAAAAGATCCAGGAGCAATAATCAAAGCTTTCCATGTTCTAAACATTTTTGAGGGACAACTGTCCAAATAAATTGACACCCTTCAGGCAGCCACACCTTCCTTGCCCACAAAAACGTCCTCACTCTCCCAAGAGACGGTGCCCCTCCTGGGTGCTGGTTTTTAGGAGGTTGCCAGGTTCCCCTGGTAAAGAATCACAGAAAGGGTCACTTTCTTCTAGTGTTGAACAAGAAACTTCATGAGAATAAGGAGAACAGTGTTATCTCTAATCTCATCTACTGTATTTCCCTCTCTGCTTCATTGCAGACCTTTTGGCTTGCATCTGCCCAGCCCAGTTCCTATTATAGCTGGAAGGATCAGGACACATACCCTCACAGAGGGAAAGCCTAGGGATTCACTAAATGCTTTCTTCCCCGGGCAAGCTAATGCTCATCATCAGTATTAACTTGTGAAGATTCTCCCTCCACACTTGCAAACATTCCCCTGAGAGGAGATTCACAGGCAGCTGAAGGCAGGTTTCCCAAGGCTGCACGACTCCCATGGAAGATTCAGTTACAATGACTGGAAGAGCAGCTGGGGCAGTGAACAGCACTGAAGCGCTCAGTCTCTGTGCCAATATCCCGACTCTTGCTGCACTGAGCTAGATTCAGGGGATTTCTCCACAGGCTGGTGGACCTTCTGTAGAGCCAGGAATCAAAAGCCGACTCCAAGATCTGAGGTGCAGAATCCGAGATCCACAGGCTGGATGAAGCCTCTGACGGTCCTCAGAGCATTTAAATTTTCTGCCCATACACTGCCCCCTCTCAGGAGCACCCCACCCCTTCCCCATCTGTTAGGAGTTGAAGTATCACCTATCCCTTGAAAGTTTATTTCTAGCTATATTTTCAATAATGTCTCAGGGTTTACGTGCACCAATGACCCCGACATATCAGTTCTTTGTCCATTCCTAGAGCACCTGTTCTTTGAGCAGGCCCAGATTCAAATCCTTTCCAATGACCCCCATACCTAAGAGCAGGCATATTGATATACACCACGGTGCCCTGAGTTCTGCCCAGGAGTGTTCTGCTTGTTTTGTTTTGTCGCTACATCAGTTACATTCAGGAC